TCGTATTATTGAGATCAATGGACAAAGTGTTGTTGCTACTGCTCATGAGAAGATAGTACAAGCATTGTCTAATTCAGTGGGAGAGGTAAGAAAACAATTAAATACTTTATCAAGAAATTAAAACTGTTGAAAGAATGTATTTTTTCAGTTGAAAAGAGTGTCTTAACATAGTATTAAAACCACCACCTCAGTAAATGAGGAGTTGAGCACTAAAAACAAACAATTAACAGAACATTTTTTGAACTAGATGCACATTCACCACATTTTTCCACTCATTTTCAAGAGTTCCTGGCATGATTCAACCTACTGTTTGAATTAAACCAATCAATTAAGGGAAGAAATTGCACAAGCATGTTAGCTATGAAAATGTCTCTTGGCTTATCACTACAGCATCTGCCGTAGAAATAAATTAATATTCAAAAGGCTGAGAGATTAAAATTGATATGTACTTTAATAATTTCATTTCCACTGAACATTTCCAACTTACCTTGGGAATAAGCTAAGACTTCTCTCTCCAGTATTTTTAGAGAAATCAGCAATGAACGAGCAAGATCCTCCACTCGATCAAAATCCCTACTGAATTTAGTGGAGTATACACAACCCTGGCCAGATCTTGCACTAGTTCCTTTGCCAAAACCAAAGATATAACTTGTTTTCCTGTGGAAAATGATACTTGAAAAATAATACAGAGTACGTGCACATTGGCAGGAGCAAAGCTGTAGATTTCAACAGAACCTCCATGCCTTTACCTCTTTGCTGCATAACGTCTCACTAAACATGAGGACAGTATGAAACTTTTTTTTTTTCAGCACGAAGAGACCAAGGTATCAAGGCAGCGTATGGCTAGTGAGGGTCTGTATTACCAGTTAGTAAAGTTTACCTTCCTTCCTCTTGCGTTGCCTGATAGACAGCTGTTACTACATTTCTGATACAACTCTGATTACCTGATGCCTTTAACCCTGTTAGTCTGTAAAATTCCTCTGACACTATCACAGTACTCCTTGCAGAAAGAACTTAAATACACTAGCCATGAGAGAACCTCTTCCACCAAAGTCGACTGGCATTTAAATATCAGGTGATAACGTCCCAGTTTTGTGTTCAGAGGATCATACTCCAATTAGGAGAAAATGTACAAAATGACAGTCCCACAGGGAAGGATTACTATCTTCCTTCTAAGTTCAGGTAATACCAGAACAGCAGAACGAATTTTCAGAGAGGTTTGTGCTGCTTCTTTTTTAAGGGCGGTAATTGCAGTAGGGTATAACAATAGAATATATATAACCCTATAATATATAGGGTATATATACAATATATAGGGTATAACAACAACAATAGGTGGTGTTTTAGCTACATGATGTTGCATCCTGTCATTGTCATTTAAAAAAAAACAAACAAACAACAAAAACACCACACAAAAAAAGCAAAGACAGCAAACCAGCTTGTTAGAACCAGAGAACTTTGAACTAGAAACTTCAGTAACATTCACATCTACAGAAACCAGGACAATAAATGCACTTACACCACAGGGAGGGAAGATTGGGCCTTACGGATTGTTTTAAACTAGTAACAATTCTGTTAATTTCTGTGTAAATCAATTGACAGATTCACATGAAGACTATGCCAGCTGCCATGTTCAGGCTTCTAACTGGACAAGAGACACCCCTATACATCTAGCACGCGACTCTCTTGCAGCAAAATAACTACATGATTCCATCAAAGCTGAAGCCCTCAGAGCTGAAGAGAATTTTGTATTTTGTAAGAATGAAAGGCTTTGAAGCTGACCTGAGGACTCCGAAACAAGGAACAGACAGGTGTCTCTACCTTTTCTCTCCTTCCTTTTTATTTCTTTGCCAAAAAGCGATGAGAAGGATGGTCAAGGACAATAATCACTGGCAAAAATCTTTGTAAAACATTTAAGTATTTTGCAACATCTTCTAAACTCTTTTCTCATAAAACTTAAAACATATTTATTTGTAACCTTTATGTGGAGTGATGTATGTATGTCTGTCTTGTTTGATAACACGGTGAATGTGAATATTTGATGAATGAGACTGCAGGAAACGGCAAAGAGAAGCAATTAGAGAACGTTATGGCTGCCCTCAAGTTAAAAAAAAAAAATCCCAGTCCCATAAAGCGATCCAATGCTGACGGCTTTGCGTAATTTTAAAACTGGTGCCGCACAGATGGTATTTCAGTGGAAAGGAATGTGTGCAGTTAAAACTTTTAGATTCTAATGTAAAGAAAACCACTGTAGTACTTGGTATTGTTATGACAAGTGTAACCTGTTTGGCAAGGTGTGAACATAAACATGTAACAAGTGTTTCATATGCTAAATAAAGAATAATTGCCACAAGATTAAAATCAAAATATTTATTTAGATACATATTTATTTTTAATGCTTGTGATTTTTATGATTTAACAGAGTTATTTCATGGATAACTTATTGCACAGGTTGTGTAATGTATGTGTTGGGCTGGGGGGGGGTCTTTAATTTTTGCGAATTACCTTTTTGTTTATATTAGCTCAAAATGGGAAAGCCATGCTTACCTGTTTCTGTCTTTTATAAAGTATTCTTATTCCTAAGGCAATGTGTTCTGAATGTAAATTGTTTTGACAAATAGCCTAGCACCATCAGCAGTATTAGGATGTGTGTAGATAAAAAAACTAGTAGTAAAGTTGTATTCCTTATGAGATAAACGTTAATTGGTGTAACTTTTCGTCTAGATTTTTTTCTTTTTTGGCCACGGCCTTGAAGAAAATACACTGTGACTTAAGAAGCCTTACCATGCAGTAACTAAAGAGCTTTAGATGACTGTACTTCAAGGAGTAGTGTGTTGCATGCAACTGACCTTAGGAAAGAATTAACCTACTATTCACTAATAAATCTGAAATAATAAAGGAAGCTTGCTTATTTTGTTTGTTGTGTAAGTTTACGTAATAAAAAAATCCAAGTAGAAGATCATTTAATTCTTCATCTAAGTGCAGTTGCAAAGGTCACAGATGATTTTTTTTAAAAAGGAATTCATCTCTTGAATTAGGAATTTGTGTATCATTATCTTGAGAGCAGTTGCTTTCAATTAGCGTACCTTGTTGCCACTGGATGTCAGTGTGACTTCACACCAATACAGAAGCACGCTATAATTAAAATACATTAAAATGGATGATTCTGTAAAGCTTAAACTACCCATCTTCAGCTACATTCCTTTGTGACCTTTTCACAGGATGTCTGCCCAGCTCAGAGTGACACAAATGAAACCAGTATATGATTAAACCTCAAATGGAAACTAACGCTACTGACAAGCGCTGCTGCAAAAAAATTAAAACCCCGAAACATCAACCTGTGGTAGGTTCTTTATGAGAACCTTTTGTTTAAGGATGAAGCTTGCACTGGAGGACGTTGCTGGCAGACCTGTGTTTATGCTGGTAATCAAATTAGTATCAATGATATTTACTTTCTGATTTTTTTTTAAGATCAATGTTGAATAAGTCATAAATGCAGCAGAACCACAAGGACATGTTTTAGTAATACAATTGTCAAAAACTACTAATTGGAATAACAATTCTTTTTGAAAAAATGTTTAAGGCTCTGCTAGATAAAAATTCATCTAACTTCCTATCAGCATTTGTAAAAAGTTTGTGAAACCTGCTTTCTGGAAATGCAGACTTCCAAAGACTTCTTCCCTAATGCCACAATACGCAGAGTACTTAAACGTCAGTTTTGATAGAATCGTAGAATCATCAGGCTGGAAAAGACCTTTAAGATCATCAGGTTCAACCATTAACCTAGCACTGCCAAGTCCACCACTAAACCATGTCCCTAAGCACCACATCTACACATCTTTTAAATACTTCCAGGGATGGTGACTCAACCACTTCCCTGGGCAGCCTGTTCCAATGTTTAACCACTCTTTCAGTAAAGAAATTTTTCCTAATATCCAATCTAAACCTCCCCTGGCGCAACTTGAGGCCATTTCCCCTCGTCCTTTCGCCAGTTACTTGGGAGAAGAGACCGACACCCCCCTCGCTACAACCTCCTTTCAGGTAGTTGTAGAGAGCGATGAGGTCTCCCCTCAGCCTCCTTTTCTCCAGGCTAAACAACCCCAGCTCCCTCAGCCGCTCCTCATCAGACTTGTTCTCCAGACCCCTCACCAGCCTCGTTGCCCTTCTCTGGACACGTTCCAGCACCTCGACGTCCTTCTTGTAGTGAGGGGCCCAAAACTGAACACAGTATTCGAGGTGCGGCCTCACCAGTGCCGAGTACAGGGGCACAATCACTTCCCTACTCCTGCTGGCCACACTAGTTCTGATACAGGCCAGGATGCCGTTGGCCTTCTTGGCCGCCTGGGAATAGTATTTTCAGTAATATACACTACTCCATTAATAAACTCCTGAGCATTCAGAACAAAGCAAAAATAAACCACGCTGCAGCCTTTACTATAATTTAAAAGGGCAACATATTGGGGGGGGGCGGGGAGCAGTTTTAATAGGACAGATCAGTTAGCCTGGCATGAAAGACACTGGAAAAATGGATTAGAACCAGCACTGTATATGCGTATGAATCACCTTTACATTTCTATCCAAATCAGTCGTTGAAAAAGCAAAGTCCAGAAATATTTTTTATTAAAACACTGATCATAGTTAAAACACTTTGAGGTACATTAAATAAATACAACTTTTAAGTTGTACAGCCAGTCTCTGGCAGTTTTGCAATGGTTTTCAAGAAACGCTAGGCAGCATCAGTAGCATTTCTGTAAGTACAGTGAAATAAATGCATTTCTGGTTGGGAAAACATTTGTTATGACTTTACTAATAAATCAGTTAAAATCTTGCAAAAATCAGGGCTGAAATTTACATTCAGAAAAACGTGTTATCCTCCTGCTGTTGGAAAAAAGTGGAATTCCAAAGGAAGACACTTTTTAAGTCATCCACTACTTGTATTTCTCCCAGTCCTGGTTTCTTCCTTAATTCTCTCTGCTGGAATCACATACCTGCGAATATTGTCAAAGGATGGTCTCCCGGCAAACTCCAATTAAACTGTGAGGCCTGTCCCGCTCTAAACTGCGAGTGATGTGGGACCTACGTAAGAAGGCAACTGGAGAGCTCAGAGCACCACAGCTCTGAAGATGAAGATCTTCTTGAAGTCGCTTTCTAGAGGTATTCACATTCTGCTGGGAACTTGTAATTACCTGTTTAAAAGGGCAGGAATGGAGAAGGAAAAATGGGGAAAACAGGGTAAGAAATGTTTTCATTTAAAAGGTTCAGTCCCTGAGTATCATTTCATTTAAGTTACCCAATGATGGAACTCTCCCAGAGGAGACGTGTGTTTATGCAGCCATCCAGAGACCCTCCCGCTTCTCCTGTTCTGACAACTGGTCAGGGCTGAGTACTGGCTACTGGAAGGCACAGTCAGGCTTGAAAGGCGTGAGGCCTCCTACCTGTACTGTGGTGTGGAATCAGCAAAGGCGCAAACAAGTATTTGTTTCTCTCTAGACGACTGAAAAGGAAACCTGTGGAAAAGGCGGCAGCTCTGCCTTGTAATTGACAAAGACGAGTTCGGAGCAAATTGAACTCATCTGTTTCTTCTAGGAGAAAGAGACGCTTCACTAGCTTTGCTGAAGGTGGAAGAGAACTAAAATCTTGCAAGCCTGGTAAACAAACATTTTGGTGTTCACAGAACTGTCAAGCTACTCCACATATCTGAATTAAATGACTATTTTACCAAAAATTCTGTGACTTCTTAAGTAGATTGCTGGGATGCCCTGAACGTTCACTAATTAACAATGGTTTTTGTCTGAAAAAAGTAACTACTAAAATTATTTCTTTAATGTGAAAAAAACATATGTCTCCCTGGATCTAGGAAATCCACACAGGATAAAAAATGGGTCATTGGTTTCTGGTTTTATGATCCATATAAACACTCAGATTTTTTTACACTGTTTTGTGAGAAACCATGGTTTTTTCATTTAAAGAAAATTGTTTTCAACTTTCTAACCTTGAGGATTTAATGACCTATAAACTTTGTAAAGCAATAAAAATGTTAAAATTTAATTCCACGCTGACACTCCGTTAAGTATGTCACGATAGTACTGCTTTTCTACCCATGCGACTACAGAGGTAACTGATACGGCGCTACTTCTTTGTTCTACTCCATAGTTAGCAAAAACAATCTTGCAGCAAGCTTTATTAAATGCTGTCTGTTTCCGGCCACACATCACACTATCTCACGTGCTGTTTAAGTGTTATTCCATCCTGCGTGAATACTGCGCCAGTTCCCCTCACTTAGGGATCAGCAGACTAATACCATAGGAGCGACAGTATCTCAGAACGGGGGAAACAGCCCCCCAGCGTGTACCCTTAATCGTCTGTCCAGCTCTGCGGAAACCCTACAGGCAACCTGAACATGGTTAGTCAGTGCTAAGAGCATTCGGCTTTTCAAATCTGACAACGTAAAAGGAACTTCACTTCTATAGCTATCGTTCTGGTAACAACGCTAGCAAGAAGTGATTCATCACCTTTCTTCCTGCAAAAAAGATTTATTACTAAGCATGCATTAGATAATAGAAGTTGCTGCCGCCACTAATTCCTTTGTTTTATAGGATTCCTTCCAAGCCTTGTGTCTGTTTTATTCTCACTCAAGGTGAGAATAAATTAATAAAATTAATTAAACTAATAATTAAATAAAATTCTTCCTTTGGAAAAGCACAATTTCTCAGTTCTTCTTCTTAAAAATAGCAAGGGCCATTAACATTCTTCCAGCCAGGAGTAAGGGTAACTGCGCTGTTCTGTTTTGATAGATCGCAGCCCTGCTTGTGTATCTACCCATTCTTTTCAGCTAGTAGCTTATGCTGTGCAAATACATTTGCCTGAAAAAAACAAAAGATCCAAGTCAGTTCTGTGTATCTCCGTATAGAAACACAAATTCATGTATGGAGCAGTCACAGGTGCAGAAAGATGCTGGAAATAAGAGAAGATGATTATCAACGTGTAAATATCAGCTCCCTATGGATCTCCTAGGATATTACTGGGTCCAGCTGAAGAATTTTAAATGCATTCATGCGTGCTTCAGTGTAAAATGCATTGCTGCCCAATACATTTTATTTCTTACTAAAGCCATGTTACTATAAAAGAACTTTTGTAGGAATTGGCTGAAGTACTTAAAACTGTAAAAACATTTAAATAAGGTATGCGTCTATCACAGTTGAACAAATCTTTAGAACTTAAGTGGCCTACCTGGTCTATAATATTGGCACTGAAGATGGCTTCTTCCATGTGTCTCTCATCAGATTTTATTACTGATCGTATGCTGTTCACTACATGACGTACTTCTGGAGGGAGATTACAGTTTGAATGTTCCAAAAATTTTGCCACTAAAATTTTTGTGTCTTTATAGGCCTTAAGGTCCACTAAAGAGTGTGGTCGCTCTTTTGAGACTGCGCGCAAAGCCTTTGGCTTTAGGTGTAGATCAATTTTCCTTGTATCCCTCTGTTTTCCAGTTGGTAGGAAAGTGCTCAAAGAATGCTGACAAGCAGAGGCAGCCACATGAGAACCAGAAACAGGAACTAAAAAAGGGGGGGAAGAATATCTTTAAAGTAATAAGTTAAAAAAAAGAGGAAAAAAAAAGGAAAAAAAAGGCAAAACAAATATTGTCACAAAAGTTTTTACTTTGTCATAAAATGTCGTTTTTTTCTGAAGAATAACAAAAACATGCAATCAAGGAAACATTGCAAAACGGTACTTAACCGGGGTCAAGAAACATTTAGGATGAGTGGGTGGGTAATTAAAGTACTTCATAAATCACAGACATTTTTGTTACTTCTACTTTCAGAGACTTCAGTTGGCATCAATGCTCAAGGGAAACACCAGCTACTCAGTGTTACATGCGTAACTTGTAATGTTTTAGGCCCACGCGTGCTCCCCCCCCACCTTTAAGGATAAAGTTCCCCTTATTTCTAGGCCTTGAAAATTCTAAGCAGTGAATAGTACAAGAGAGATTTAGCAAGACATACAGAGAAAGCAAAAATGCTGAACTGAAACTAGGGACTTCATTCGCAGCATTTATTTTCACTCAAAGGCTGGTTCCATCAGCATTGTACATCATATATGCATGCTCTTACTAAGTGATTTTTATGCCCCAAATTTTCTAGAGCTTGTTTCTCTATCAGAAGCTTTTAATTATTTTTAAAACAAAAGAAGGAAACCCATATGATCCTGCTTTAGAAAACTGATCCTCACCTGTTTCTAATACAGCTGGAGATAAGCCTGCATCTTGACGCTGGCTACATATAGGAGTCCAGGCACAATTATCACCTTTAACCAAAAGAGAGAGAGACAGAAAGAGCACAATCAACCCCTGCTGTCCTCTGCCCAAAGCAAGGAAAAATACATTGGAATCTTTTATTGTCTCCTTTACAGAATGAAACTACTCAGAAGAAATACTACTTTCAAGATGCCCATTCATAAATAGAAGCTACTATACACAGAAATGTCCTATAAGCCGTTAAATACAAATAGAAAGACAGAGTTCCTGCTTGATGGTTTCCTCTCTGTTATACAGCTATCAAATCCTAAATATTTCAGGCCTAAGCACTGAAGCTACGGAAGGCTCCTTGCTAGGGGCAGACCTCAGACTTTCCTGTATTTTCTTGGCAGACAGAGTTTATCTTAGAAAATGGGAAAAACAAGAAAGATGAGTCCCTCTTATTTCTACAAAACCAGCATTTTATTCAATATTTCTACCTCCTTTTTTTATAGACTCCCATTCTTTGCAGGACAAATGCTATCCACCGCTGATTAAATTAATGGGTAGGTGACCACTACGGTTACTGATGATCCAATCAATACCAAGTGGTTACAGAGCATCTACAAACAGCTCTGGACATAGTTGCCTTCTCATGACAGAGTTTCTGGATGCCAGCACAAGGATCGATGATGATGAGATCACGCTACGCAGTAACTACCAGTGCAGTCTGTTTGATTTCAAGCTTGTGACAGTCAGGATGGAATAAACCCTCACATTTATGCTAAGGCTGTTTACATGTGTTCCCAAGACTGAAACCTATTTTGAACTTCCAGGTAGATTAGAAGAGGTTTTCTTCCATATCTTCAGGGACAGTTTATAATGAAAAGCTGGTATAATCCTCCCTGGTAGAATGAATAATTAAATGAAGGAAAACAAAGCTAAGATGCTACAAACACAGAAAATCTGTCAGAAATTAAAAGAGACAGCTTCTATTCTATCTTTAATTTGCTTTATTATGCTGAAGTACTGTGACACATGAATCGCGGCATGCTTATTAAGAGGAGACACTTCAGAGGTTCTGTCTTCCCATCCATTATTATACTGCTTAATGGACTTGCGGCACAGTCAAAACTACACCACTAGACATTAGCCTGAATTATCTGGAACACAGACACTACAACAATCACTCAGGCACTTAACTGATATAGCCACATAGTCTATCATATTTGATTACAGATTAAGTTTGTTGTAACAAATATCAGTGCTAGAAGTTGATTTTGTCCTCCTTTGCTATGATAAACTTTACAGGGAAAAGACAGGAAAACGTGCAAACTACTCATTTGTAAGTAATTTTTTTTAAGAGGAAACTATTTCTTACAGAGGTCATATGTCAAACCACCATACTTACATTGTCCAGGGACTACACAGTGACTATAAAGGCACCTATTAAACTGAAATTTCATTTATAATTTCTCTACTAGGAATGACAGATATTTCGAAACAAATAAGCAAGCTCACTTTCAGCATTAAAGGATTAATGGGAGAACTATTGACTATACGTGTCATAAAGACCCCATCATGTCAAGATGTGCTTGAAGCACATGAATTGTGTTTTATTTTTTGCCAGCGTTAAAATTCCCAGATTACTAATTTATTAGATCTCATTGCTGTTGTGTCACTATGCTGTTGCACACGTGCAACATCCCCGTGTCAAGTAATTTATGTTCCAAACCATGTGCAGTGCAATCACAGTAACATTCAAGACCCATTTAACAAAACTCCACACGGTAAATTTCAAGGTTGCGCTTCTACATCTCTTCACATTGGTTTGTAGAGGGAGGTTAATCAGAAGATAAATATTATCAGAAGATAATTTTTCTTAAAGTAGAAAGGCAGGGTCCCAAGACAAAACCAACCCCCACTTACCAATCTGACAGCTGTATTTTCCCATTTGTGAACATGCCTGAAGCTCCCCCACCCCTCAGTTCTCCAAAATCCACAGTATGTCTCTTACATGAGTTATTAGTATTAACGATACGTACTTACAGCTCTGTCTTTCATATGGTCAGTCTACTTGACCAGTTCTTCTACTCCAGGACGATTTTAAAAAAATAAGTGTATGTTATTGAAAAAAAAACCCAAACACTTTTTCTTCTGGGTTGGTTAGGTGATGGAGCTCAGTTGGTTCCCTTTAACTTTGCCTATCATTCAACTCTGTGGATGTATTTTAAAATTCTGAAGCGAGATCTACACACCAATAGCCAGTCATGAAAAATCTAGATCCGATACCATTTAAAAGTTATAAAGAGTATAAAAAACTTCAGCTGTGTGTCACAGCGTAGGAAAAATAAGCTTCAGGGCTGCTGCAGACAGCCGGAACATGTTACTAGAATTGTTCTGCTTCTAACCTCTGTATGATTTCCAAGTAAAGTTCAACAAAAAGTAGAGGAAGGGCAAGGGATGCAAAGTCGTGAAAACCTTCACAGAGTCCAGTTTGGCAAACCATATGGTTGCTATTGGTGGCTATTTAAGCTATTTATGGCAACCATAGCTTGCCAAACATATCAATGAAAGAAATATGCACATCTAGCCTCAAGTGCGTCTCTTAAAGATTTCATTTGAGAGTCTTCTGTAGGCAGCAAAAGAACGGCAAACTAAGTCAGCACAAACACCTTCCCTCTGAGTTACTTTTGCTCTTGCTCCCCCTCTGCTGTGTGCATATCAGCATCTCTAGGACCATCTCTGCTCCTTTATTACAATCTTTACTAAGCCCAGTTACATCTCAGTAATGTTCAACCCGTGTCCCTCAACTCACGTAGGGCTAAGAACTCGGAAATTCGTCAAAATAATTCCCATAATGCCATTTCTCCAGAAAGGATGATATTTAGGACATGTTAAAAATGAAGGCAGAGCATCTGTTCTACCAGGTGTCCCAGCAGTCAGCTAGAACACGTAGATATGGCTGCCTACAGTAATCTCTCTCTCAAACACTACTCAAAGAGCATATGGAGCACAATATGGAAAACTTGCAGAGTGCGATCCGGAAGAGAAAGGGCTGTTCTTCTTGTCTTTAGCACAGTAGAAAGGATTCAAAAATTCCTACTTACTGTCTGCACAGCACCTTCATGGCACGTATATCCTAGCAGAGTAAATTTCATAAAATAAATGCAGACTTCTAGATTAAAGATTCACTTTTCCTGGACAGGATGCTGAGGCTAGATTTCTAAAGGTAAAAGACATTCAATTATTGAGCTAAGTGTGAGGTCTCTGAAATTCATAGAAACAGAATAATGATGCAAAAAGTGTAATAGAACCAACACATCATCTTCCTAAATGAAACCAGTTATTTCAGCATTTTGTCCACTTTTGTTTCGAGCTAGTCACATGATTCTTCCTCTAGATCCCTTAGAAAGCCCAGTGAACGCATCTGTAACAGCACCATCTATGACACCTTACACAGCCTTTAATCTGTACTTTCAAACCACTTCTCCAGGTTACCCCCCTTTGAATGTCTTTAAACAGCTTACATCCTTTTGTAAAACCTGCGCTTTTCAAATGGCTTAGACAGTTCTACAGTCCTGCTATTACTTGATCAAGCCATTCTCTACTAAATCAAACATTTCTTCTCCACTAATGAGCAGATTTTTATGAAGATACACTGTTCAGCTAACGTCTCCTCTCTTCTTCCCTACTTGTCTAAAAGAAGATTCATGTCAGAAGATGCTTATCCACAACAGTCAAAGCTTTCCTTTTCATTTATCATCTTGTCATGTGCCTCATCTTTCATCTCTTTGTCCTTTAAAACTTTTCACCACACAGTCCAACTTGCCACTACACAGTCTCACTGACTGCCTGTGGCATGCACCAATGCTGTCGATGTCGGTGTCACCTTCAGGAAACACAACCTGCTGTACTACAAGCATGACAGCTCAGTTAATCACTTCCTAAAGACCCCAGCTACCATTCAACTTCTTAGTTTAGCTTCTCAATGTAGCAGTAATAGAGAAGTGGAAGCGTCTACTCAAGAGATGGTTTTCTGAGAACTGCAGAAAGGCTGGTACAATTTAGAAAAGCCAAAATTAATTTCACTCCATCACTTTACCCATTTCTATTCTTAAAAATTTTCAACTCTAGAAAATGTGCATGGAACTAAAGCCTTCACACATAAGTCAACCCTCATTGGAACGTTTCATACAATTTCCAGCAGCATCAATTGCTGCATAAATCAGATACCACTCATTTCTTCCATGAGCCATCAGCCTTGTGGTACTACACCTACCTTCTGTATAAGACGAACATGATACAGGGTCACTAGTTGATCGGACTATATTTGAAATTCGGTATTTTGTAATGTGATGCTGCTGGACAGCACTCTCACGGCCGCTCACACACGATGAAGTATTTGCGGGCCCAAAACAGGGAGAGGTCTGGGAAGGGATAGGAGGCTGGCTAAACACCGCACAGCAGATTTTCTTTTGCTTCAAAGGCGGCATGGCATTGCCTTCTTGAGCAGAACTCTGCAGTTCTCTTTCTGAGGGGCTGAAATTCTCTGAGGAACAGTCCAAGGACCTGCCACGGGCACAGTTCTGTTCTTGTCCTTGAGACCTGTCTGTAGAGGCTTGGCTGTAGGAACTGTCATCCTCATCAGGAAAACCCTCTGAGCGAGTTCTGTGGAACCTGCAGTGGGTGCTGTAGTCCAGAGTGCTGCAGCTCTGGTCCGTAGCCCCTTTGGGGGTTGTACAGTAGGGAGAAAGGTCTGCGGAATGGAGAGATCCTTGAACTTCCAGCGAACAAAGATCTTCAGAGGAGCAGCTACGGTCTGGGATATCAACAGCCTCAGAGACCATCAAAGAGGTGCTCTCAACAGAAACTGCAAACCAAGAGATTCAGAGAGAAATAAAGACTTCTTGCCCCTCTCCCATTCCTCCCCGGCCCTGTTTTCAATATACTGATTTAGATTTAGTAATTGGCAAGTACATCAATAATTACTCAAAAGCTTTCAGATGACAGAATGCCAAAGCAAAAAAGACTGAAGTAATTTACTTGTTTCTAGTGTCCTTCAGCAAAGCTAATTTGTGCTGTCCTCCAGTATTTTCTTCAACTAATAAGCATACTTGAGCACTGATACCAAAGTATTGTCTGTAACTACATTTGGCCAGGAACAGCTCTTTCACTGCTGGTTTCTCTGGTAAAGTGAGAGATTGCCGGTGGTAGAAAGAGTAAAAACTTTACACAAATGCTGAAAAAAACACGGCTCTGATCACTTTTCAGGCAATCACTACTGTCAATATTAGCTTTGCACCTAACACTTTCTAATCAATCATCATTTCCCTGAGGCATGTATCCAAGTTCTTTACAAATGAGAATTCACCATCATATAACATCTCTGGCACACAAAATATGCGACGCGCACACACACTTCAGAGAGAAGCTAAACATTCTATGCAAGGCCACGTCATCTTTGAAGCCCTTTGTATTAAAAACTGAGATTGTAATCACTTCCTCTGTCATGTCTACAAATACATGTTATGGATGAAAATGGCCCCTTGTATGAAAATAAGTATTTGGCTTTGCATTATTCCCAAAGTCATGACAAAAATAAAGAAAATAAAACTAGATAATCCAGTCTCCAGGCTCCAATAATACAGACAACACTTTTCCCATATTAGACTGGAATTCCTTGAAGTCCTACATCTAAAATAAAAATATTTACAAAATACAAATCACATAATTGTAGTCAGCGCAGCAGCCTCTGATGCCCTTTTTTGCATAACAGCTGTTGCTAACCATATTGATGAGACAAATGTATTTTAACTGTTTTGTTCAGGAATAGAAAAATAGGATCTTTTAGTGAATTAGAGAACGTTTGTTAGGTGCTCCCATGTTTTGGGGTCTAGGAAGCAGAAAGCTTTCTACAGTATAGGGAAGTTAACTATCAAAATTAAAATCAAATATTCACGAAGTTGGATTTCATGAAGGACATTTTCTTCTTACATAAAATGAATCACAACAACTATTTTCTTCTGGGGCTTCCAGAAAATAAATTTGTAACACTTACAAGGCAATCGTAAGATTGCCAAAAAGGATATAATAATCAATAATGGAATACACATAAATACATGCTAAAAATGCATAATATGCACTGCTTATTATGTGTTAGGTGCAAAGCTGCAGTGACTTATTGGACCACTTATATTTGTGATGAGTCCCCAAACATGTTTTACCCAGTTAGATGATTCTTTGCAACGTATTCCCTTAACTCGGGCTCTGAAATATCTATGAAGTTTGTATGGATAAATGAAAGCATCCAGTTTGTGCCTGTCTTCAGAGCACAGATCTTCACTGTCCAAACTCTCTCTGATTTGATTTGATTTAATTGATAACTAGAGTGTGGTTGGTTGTACCATTTGCTACCTGGACTCGAGGGCCTTAAGCTGTATTTACAGCTTCCTACTATACTACTCTTCCACTGGTGTGGTTTTTCTGGTAATACAGACAGCAGGAGGAGGGGCCTGAAGCAGATAAGAAGCAGTCACTGTTCAAAAGCCACGGACTGGTGACACCTGACGTGCCCGAGGACCTTCCTAGTTCCCTTTTACGTGCGCACAGCACAATATGTAATGTCAAAACCCTGGCTTGAGAGCTGGCCCACTGCTTCCCAATAGTCAAAACTCTAGCACTGGCCTTAAAATTTAGACTTTCATATGTGGATGTGAAGTCCAAATGTACTTATGAACTTTAGGAACTAGCTCTGTAGACACAGCCCTTGTTAACAGCAGCACTTGAAAACTAGTCACCTTCAGCTGTCACACTCCGTTGCAGTTGTCAAACACCAGGGTTTAAAAAAAAATAAATTAATATTTAGCAGCAGTTAAAGGTGACCACTGGTGGCTCTGGAAGTTGAAATCCTTCTTCACAGAACAGGTACTCTGTGTAGGAACAGATGCTCCTCGCTTACCTGTTAAGCTGTCAGTCCCATTCTGCACGCTAGGCGAGAGAGGACTGTTTCTGTTTCTTGGACCACTCTGCCCCCACCTCTCTGCCCATAAGTGTACTAACTGAGAACACCTGCCAGTCTATGCATTAATACGATATGAATATGATGTGGAAAAATTATTTAATGGAAGTTTTACTAAACTAATTATTTCATACAAACTGCTCAACATCTTGTGATCCACTGAGGCTGTAACGTTCAAAAACCCCTCCATATCAACAGACACGGCAAGGAGGCCTATTCTAGTAACTTTTAAACAAACAGGCTCTGTGCTGCTACTCATCTACTTGCATTCACAACATCTACGCTTCAGGCAGCAAGGTTCCTATTCAGGCTTCTGGAAGCCATGCAGGAAACTACTATATGGAGAAGGCATGTAGACTATCAGGAGGGCACCCATGGTTGCTGACAACAAGAAACAAACTGCCAGTTATGTGCATGACTCTTCAAAGAGAAATGACAGTTGCCCTGTCTGCCTCAAAGGGCTTTATAGAGCATGCTTTGTTGAGCAACACTCTCCTCTGCATTTCCAGCCACACCAGTTTATGACTGTGAAAAGGCTCTTCTTGCCATGAATGCTCTGAAAGCAAATCCTTCTTTATCCATTGGGAAGGGCAGAAGAGAAGGAAAAGTCCACTCAAAAATCCTGCTACATCTTTCTCAAGCAGACAAACACAATGCTACGATTACCTTGTGTGCTGAAGTCCAGGGTCACGTTCCTCTCACCCACGCTTGAATCGGGTACGCGCTGATCAGTACCAGTGACCTAAATGCAAATTGTTTGATTAAACAGCACAGTAATCTGCAATTTACCAAAACAAAGTATAGCGCTGATGATCTTAAGAACACACCTGACAACGTGAAATAACCATCATATAAGCTGCTATTCAGATTGAAAGCTATTAAAGATATAGTATTTTACAGTGTCTTTGGGTCAGGAACAAATGCAGGGCAAAGGAATGTGCTTGAAAAATGCATTCTTCCAGAATCTACGAGCTAAATTCATCTTGAATTCACAGGCAGCTGGGGCCGCAGGCCCACAGCACAAAACTTAATGCCTGCAACGCTTAAAACTAATGGTTTTATTACAAGCAAACTCTTTTTCTGCAGTCTGCATTTTTCCATATTATACTTTTTTCCCACCACATTATATCACCCTAAAATAGGATAGAGAACAACAGAAACCATAAAAACAAGCACAAGAGCAGTATTTTCCTTTGGTTATTTGCTGAGATGTTAACACCTAATGTATTTTTAAGCCCTGTAACATCACTGCCACCCAACGTGGCCGATGCAGGGTGCTCTCCAGCCTATCGGAGATTGCTGAAGGGAGATAATACTAGGACTCGCCTTTTTTCTGAAAGGATGGATCTAAGTGGGTAACTTCCATTCACTTTTGAGAATCCTGTGAACAAAATACAGAACCAGTCCTGCTGGAAAGACTTGATCCATAAACACCTGAAATTTAGGAAATCTTCTTTCTACTTATTTTAATAGACTTTGGATTGGACCTTGTTGCCAATCTCATTAGATTTTTAGCAGTTCTTTCAGATCATGATTATTAAAAAATGGTTCCAATAAATAGCTGGTAACAATAAATGAGAAAAATATAAAAAGAAAAGTCCAAGGGAATGAGACTGATACCATCTTTAGCAGAAAGCATCATATCTGCTTCTGTCTGCAGGGCCACAATTAACTAGTAAAAGCTTATTACGGTTGGTGACATAGTCTAGAAATAACCATCAGTCACCTCTGTGAAAACCTTTTTGTCAAGAGCTTAATTTGTATCTGGCCTTCTGAAAAATTGAATGTGACACTATTACTCTGAAGCTATTAAGGAAATAGCTTCCAGTGCACATGCCAATGTAGATTAACGCGCACACATATATATGCATAACTTACTGTGCTCACTAATTTTTTTTTATATCTATCTATCTATCTATCTATCCATAGCTTTCTATGACCAAGTGATCAGGAAACTTTTTCTGATACAAATTTAGTTTTTAAAAGTGATTTTAAGCCTAAGGGTTAGCGAATACAACTCTAAACAAAGAACAGTACCAGAAATACTTTAACTCAGCAACAGATGGATAGAGGACTGGGAAGCAAAGGTGAAATCACTCATATTTTTAAAGAATTTGCTTGGAAGTTTCTTAAAGGATCTTTCTTTATTGAAGCAGAATATCACATCTGTGGTAAAGAAAAAAATTAGTGGTGTCACTCTGAGTTGCAGACCATTCCTGGGAACTAACTGTGGAACTGCTGGGAACTAACTGGAAAAGAAGTGTTCTCAAATGCTCTTTGTCGCTGGAGAAAATTCAATTAGACTAACTACATTTTGGAAGAAATAATATAATGTTTTAAGGGTGTTCGTTTCTTTTTAAAAATCTAGGGTTCTTTTTAAGTCCAGGTGGTTCCACAAATTCTTAATCATTGACAGGAAAATATCTGCTGAATATTTGTGCTGAAACATTTATTGACCTTCTACATTCTCCCAGTCACCTGGCAGCTGTAGTGACATTGTCTAGTACCTATAAAATGGCCTAATACATATAAAATGAGTTACGTGCAAGGCTGAGGTTTTGGCAAACCTGTACTAATAAAAAAAAGAACCATCTGTAGCTTTGATCTAGTAAGTTTAAAATAACATTATTATACAGCATAAACTTAAGGCTGGTGAAAAAAGCTGGCTTAGCAATTCTTGAAATCTAAATATCACGCATCTCAAAAAAATACGCTATTTTACAGGCAGAAGAAATACATACATTGTATTTACATACCTCAGTTTCCTATTACACAAACATTTCTAGATTATGACAGTTCAATCTTCATGTCCTTTTTTTTTTTTTTTAATTCTCTGCTTAGTTTGCCAAAGGGAACAATTACAGCGTTGACAGAATTTTTTGACCTGGGAATAAGAGAACTAAGCTCATTTGGCAGAGCGGCTATCAGTACTCTGCTTTGACATCTTGTTGGAACAGAGTTTGCACAGAACGCACCACGGACCCAAGGTGTATTCCAACATGGGCAGGAGACAAACTATTTTACCTTGCGGTTAGGTATTAATACTGGGAGTCCTTCAGCTCACCTGGGGTAAGGACTCATGTTTTACTCAGGGAAACCACAGAGAGAACTGTTCTCAGCACCCTCCTCCATGCAATGAGATTTGTATCAGCCTTTCACATCCTTTGGAATTTAGAAGGACTCAAAAGCTCATCCACTACACATCACATTCCTTCTCAGGCTCTGCCTCAATCTCAGAGGCCCCTACAGAGGCTGAAAACCTTGCAACAACATACCTAAAGACATGGGGTTGCATAGAATCATAGAATCATAGAATCATTAAGGTTGGAAGAGACCTCCAAGATCATCGAGTCCAACCATCAACCCAACAGCATAAACAAGATAGTAACAAGTTACCTCTAAGAATGTTATGTGAATCAAAGGACACGGCCTCTCAGCTTAACTTCTGGATGCTTGCTTATATACTGCAGTCTATATTATATTATAGTTTTCTCTAATTACAACTGCTGGAAATTAAAAAACAAACAAACAAACCCCAAAACAAAACAACAAAGCCCACAACCAGACCCCAACAATATGACAAATAGATGGGACAAATTTACACACACAGAAATTGCTTCTTGAGACCAAATGGAAGACTGTGAATATTCCCCTCTATATAAAATCTGCCACACACAGAAGAGCACTCATCATCTTTAAGGTTTATCTCTTCAGGGCCTCGTTGATAACTAGCATCCTTAATAGTGGGAAAACGAGAGATTTCAAGATTTCGGGCATGCAGAAGAAACCAGGGATATAATTTGTATTTTGGCTTCTTCTCCTACTTTTTTCACTATTTAGCCATAATTTGCAAAACATAAGCCATTTAAACTTATCTGATTCATGTGTTAATTTTTCCTTTTCCTTCCCTTCTTCTTTCTCCATGCACAAGAATAATTGCTGAATATATTTTATATGCACTTGGAATCGATTAACCTCCTTGCTTGGGGGAAGGAGAACCATGGTTTTAATTGTAGGAGATAACACTGACAATTTTTAGTCAGGTCAGAGTTTTGGGTCACATAGGGATAGCACGTGGTTTCATACAGGTTCCTGCACAGCCGAGGGTAACAAAACCTTATTGACTTGCACATCCTCAGACATAAAACTGGTAAAGACAGTCACTAAGCTATCAATAGGAAAAGGAAAGAAAAACCATGCTTTTAACAAGCCTGCACAGCCTACAGGTTAGTAAACCTTATAAAACAGTCAGTGGTATAATTCACTCAGAACCCTGATCTGTTTGTTCTTGTCTTTTCTATATCCTCGTCAATACTTTGCATGGAAAACAGTGTGAAAAACACTTTTTTTTTCCATAGTCATAAAATGGGAATTCCTAATCAAGCACAGATTACAACAGCAATTTTTACTTAGATGCAACCACTTAAATTAGCACTGACATTTGTTGTCTGTGAAATGCATGAAATATTGAGTCATTTGATACAATTTAATTAGATTCTAAGGACCTCAATTCATTTAAAAACAAACAAAACCTACTGCTTGATGCTCAGTAAGAGGTTTTACAATTATGATGTTATTACATAATGGTTTCCAGAAGCACTTCTGTAGCTAAAGCTCTGCCATGATTTCCATTGCAAAGTCTGCCTTTGAGGGATTTATAAATCTAGTTATTTCAGTTCATACTGTACTGTAGCTTGGTGCATATTATATGGGAGCGTTTGCATCATGTAGCAATTTAGGACTCTCATTTTGTTTCTCTTGTAGACCTAAAACTGTCCTAGACTTTGGCTCCATTCATCCATTTACAGATCGATTGGGACACTGACTGCAAAAAAATATACGTTAGGGCTTTTGTTGTCAGGAAAAGTATATGGCTACAAAATGGCTGTGTAGGCTTTAGTTAGCATTGCCAATGTACTTCGCTTCTGATACTCAGCACCTGTTGTTATTTTGCTCCTACAAGCTCTCTGAACCAGCAACTATCAGGCATATATAAACTCACCCCTGGTAAGAAACTATGTAATTATCACCATTTAGAAATTAAAAATCACTTGTGATTAGAACAAACGCTTCTGGAACCCAGGTGGCCAGAGATTAATAGGTAAGGCACTGACACTGACCCCAGATGCCAAAAAATAACGGTCAATACATCTGCTTATTAAAGCTCATGCTCTTCTTGCAAGAGCACGACTTTGCTGCTTTAAATGATGTCTTGTTAAATTATGCTTTCATTATATGCTGTTGCTGTTGTGCTGCTGGATGTCGATGTTCACGCAAAGTGTAATCCCAATTACAAGAGTGCTCAAAGTGATTTTGTGCTTAAATATAAATAGACACTTTTCTAAACCTTACTTAGTACTATGTACAAATTCTTATCACAGATATGATCCTGCCTTTTCTAAACCTGACTTAGTACTATGTATGAATTCCCATCACAGATACGATCCTTCTCTGTCCCCCCAAACCATGTATGATTCATACCGCTTTTGCCAATTTTTTTTTTAATCACTGAAAAATATCAACTCCTCCAGGGCTTGCAGGTTCCTCTGAGTTACTGTAAAGGAAAAAGGATGGAACTTGGATAAAAAATATTTTAGAAAGGAGATGGCCTTGGAAGCTCCAATTTTGCTGTTCAGAAAAGAACTTCACTCACAAGCAGTTTATACCGATTCATTTTATTATAGCCAAATAAATCAAAGGTAGTGCAATGTTTGGCCTGTTTATTGTGGCCGGTGGTGGAGGGTGTGATACAAGGCAAGGATTAGAAGAGTTGTCAGAAGCTGCTTTGTCAGTCGCAGAAGCTGCAAAGTTAAGCATATCTTGGAGTTTTTTAATTGCATTTTTGTCAGGCACTGTGCATCTCAACGTTCTTTTTTACTCAGACACTTGTCATTAATTGTCTTAATAATCTTCTTATGTATAATAGTAAAAATTTATATAATTTCTTTAGTTTTGTAGTTCCAGTTGTGGTTTCCCCCAATGTGAAAAAAATCACTAGCAAGCTTTTCAGCGTTATATTTTGGGGAAACGCAAAGTACTCCCCTCTGTAATATGGGTCCAATTTGGCAACCTGAACACACGTTTCCACAGTGCGCTATTAACAACTGCTAAACAGTATCTAGAATGTTTGAGTCCTTGAGTTTTTACTGAAGCCTGCAAGAAATTACAGTTTCTAAAAGCAATTTTAAGTATTTTCCCATTTGTGACAGCTGATTCAATCATCACAAATCACTTCAAGCAAAACTTTGCTCAAATTAGCTTTGGCCGTACATGCAGATACATTATAATTCCAGTTTCAGTTGAGTTGACGCTGTATAGTAAAAAACAAGGCAAAAAGTGTAATGTAAATGTTTGTCTGTATACTGGATCCGCAAAGTTCAGAATAAAGGTGTTAGGCACTCTCAGGAGTAACTGCTTCTGCCATGTAACAGCAGAAGCCATTAAAAGCTGTAACAGCCAAAAGTATAAGCAACAGATAGAGAACTACTCATTGCTATTTCATAGGAAGAACACGTCCCTATCCTTTTATCATTCAAATCTTTGCTCCGTATGGTTTCTTATCAGCTAATGTAACACTGAGGCAGGAATCAGTTTCTAGCACTTTGGTGCCTGACAGGAGCCTCCTTACGGAGGCTGTATCTTACAACTACTAAAGCATAGATTTGGCACCGAGTTCAAGGCATCCTGTCAAGACTAGAGCATACCATTATAAGAACCTACACTATTACCAGATGCTCCCAGTACTTTTCCAGAACGTCATCTGAAATCTGACATAAGTGGGGGACTGCAAATGTGTATTTTTAACTTTGTTAATCTGAGGTTATTTGCAGAGATTTTCAAAGACGTTACAAATTTTCAAGTACGTGTTCTACCTACACATAGAGTTTAAAATGGGAATTCGTAATTATCTTGGCTGAGATCACACGCAGAGCAAAACCGAATGTCCCATGACCTCTATGCTATATACACACATACACAAACATACAGAAGTTATTAGCATTACATGTCACAAGACACGCAGTTATCTTTTTTGTTATTAAACCTAGACTGTTGTACTGAGCTCCAACTAAAAGTAGTATATTAAAGTGAGGCAAATCCACCATCATCAGTATTTGGAATAAAAAATATTTTACAGCTGTAGGCGTTTTTAAGAAAATAAACGTGCTTCCTAATTCCTTGTTACGTATAGAAATTAAGAAATGTAATCTCATTTTAAAACATCATTATCCTTTTCAAATAAGGAAAAACACGGTGCTTCGGTGATTCCAATCCATTCTTCTAGGTTTTTGTTACTGATAGTCCAGTATCATACTACTTTTGTAACGGATGATGACAGCTGAAATATTACTACTCACGTAAGCATTTGCCCAATGATGCACAAGAACATAAGGAGAATACACATTAAGTAAAATTTGTTAGTTAAACCCTTTTAAAGGGAATGGCCTGAAAAGTGTGTTTAAAGAATATAAATATTTTGTAACGGTTGTTCCCCCGAAGTACAATTAACTCCTAAATTATTTTAGATCATTAAATTTATCTAAAATTGTTTCGCATCATGAAAATTTGAAGACTAGGTAAAGAATTACCTTTGGCTTTCCTTACCTGACTGGCAGGCGTCTCTCCAATCACTGCCTCATAAGGAGGGGGCAGCTCAGTTGGATACAGCATCCCTGGGCTGTTAATGGTTACGTCGTATAAAGCACTGAATGGGGAATGAGGAAAGTCCAAATGGAGACCTCTGTTTAAAAATACAAACAAGCACACTTAAGAAATTGCATTGGATTTATTTGGTAAACTATTACCAACACCACAATGATGTAGAGCGTTCTCTGAATTCAAAGCCAATATACTACAAAGAATTATACTGAAGAAATTTACTACACAACCAAAAGGAAGCCCTCACTCACAGGGTAGCTTTAAAAATTGTATTTCATTTTGGATGCCACCCATCTCTACCAGCTTGTTTTGCAGTCACTATTGTCCTTCACTATTCCACAATAATACGCATTAACTGCAATGATTTCCTTAGAAAATTAAATCTCATATTCAACTTCAAGGGTATAATGTTAACAACTGTGAAAGGATTATCCATAAGCTGATCTTTGCTTTAAGTTCAGATATTGTTATCCTTGTCTTAGCTAAATTCAATCACTTCTCTATTACAGCAGTGCTTTAACACAAATATTTCCCGGTGCATCCTAACAAGTTTGCAAAAAACGTATGTAATCTCTCTGGAAAAGAAGCACCTAATGTAAGTGAAGGACATTACTTGGCTTCATATTCTTTGAAAGAGCTGCATAGTCTGTAGCTCAGAACTATGTGATGACTGTAACTACAGGGAAGAAGAATCACCTCTGCGCCTCTATCACTGGTGTGCAGGTATATTCTGGCGGGTAGTAGGGTGGAGGCGGTATTGGTGGTATGAACTCATCAAAATCCAGGGTTTGATGCAAGATAGTTCCATGGGGAGTCATGCAGTCAGGATTGGTAGAATGTGGCCTCTGTGGCAGAAACTGAAAATGAACAGGTCAAGTTCCTTCAGATGGTAGAAGCACCATGACCAATAATAAAAATTTTAATAGAAGGGTCAGTATTAGCAATGCTGACCAATACCCAATTTCACTAATATCCATTCTGAAATGAAAGAGACACTTCTGGAAGCATAAGAATACCTGAGATCAGCGAGGAGTGTGAGTCAAACTGCCAAAATATAACACAAGGTTTTACTAAAGACAGAGAGGCCTGTGCCTCAAAGTCAGTCACTCAGGATGCAGAACATAGACATTTAAAATTAAATAGAAGAAATACTTCTATGTTGTAATACAATTTCATTATAGCACTACATAATCAGCTATATTTTAACAACTGATGAACAATAGATACAACTACTAAAATAACTATTTGCATGTTTTTGTTTCCAATCTGAAATACCTTGTGCTTACAGAGAAAAAAAAACAACCACACCCCCCCAAAAAAAACCAAACTAGAAACAAGCTACCACATATTAATTACATTTTGAATAAGACAACTACAAATATCCCACCTATTTTTCACTTCAAAAAAAAAGGGCCACTTATAACTATTCTTTATTATTCTTGTAAAATAAAATATACTTAATAGCCATTTGTAGTTTGGTGATACAGACATTGCACACTTAAATGTGGTATAAGGTTTTAAAGACTGGTATGAATGTAAGAAAAACATTCATTCCATATAAAAATCTCAAAACCAAAAAGAAAATATCCACACTGAATAATACAAAGTAATAATACTGAGAACTACTGTCAACATTTGTGACAGGAACCTAATCAGCTTCTAGCATAGCAGTGATATCAAAGTGCCATTCTGATACCTTCGATATCAGAAACACTGTAACTTAGCAAGACTTCTAGCAAAGGCTTGAACTACTTCAAGGACAAATATTGACCATTCTGCAGACCACATGGAACCCAGCCACCTTTGACCTGGCTTTATATGGTCCCCATGGATAAAAGGGGATCAAAAGACAATCCAAAAGCACAGAAGAGTTCTTTCTTCTCTGGGCAAGCTTCTGCTGTCATATCACTTTTCTTGGATCAGTAGATGACTTGGTCTTTAGCTCTTGCCTTTTAAAACAAGTGAGCTAAGAAAATTTGCTGAAGGCACATTTCTTTTTCATACTGGAACAAGAGAATATATGTCTTTGTACTGTTCTCTCATTACGTTATTATTTGTTTAAATCCATGATAAAGACTTAAGAAGCTGTGAAATAAGAGGGAAAATGCTTATGCTTAGGAGATCCAGCAAATAGAAAGTAAATTACCTTAATTTTTAATGTCACAGTTTTATATTTTTCACTTTTTCAAATTTTACTTGGTGCAGTTATGCTGAATTTACATTACCATAGAAATGATATTGGTCTTTGGTATTTAAAAGGTTGAGTTACATCTTAATTCTACTAAACACACTCTATGTAGGTTGTTTCAAAGGTCAAAGCTGTAATAATGCAACACAACAGTGGATCAGGAGGACCAATTTCAATTGCTTGTGAAAAGGAACTATTAGTTGCTTACTAATCGGCTCTCTAGAGGTTATTTTCACAAGTAACTATTAAATAAAGAACCTCCTCTGCAGAATATGTTATATCATTATATCTTACACCCAGCCAATGACTTTCAGCCATTGTAGTCTACAGATGGTACAGGAATAAAAGTCATGACATCTGCTTTATTTTTCTCTCCATTACATAAAATGTCCGATGCTGTTAAGCACACTCTCTCATGTGAGACGTGATGCTGTTATCCTGAGTACTATCAGACATTTCTACAGGTTTGTCTTACAGAATAAAACTACATTTTTGCAGTCATTCGGTCTAAATTCACCTGATCTTTCAACAGCCATTTCCCAAACTGTAACTTTACATTAATATTAACTGTTTGTCCTGGTTTCAGCAGGGATAGAGTTAATTTCCTTCCTAGCAGCTGGTACAGTGCTGTGTTGTGGATTTAGGATGAGAACAATGTTGATAACACACCGATGTGTTAGTTGTTGCTAGGTAATGCTTACACTAGCCAAGGACTTTCCAGCTTCCCATGCTCTACCCACTGAGAAGGCTGGAGGTGCACAAGAAGCTGGGAGGGGGCACGGCCAGGACAGCTGACCCCGACTGCCCAAAGGGACATTCCATACCATGGGACGTCGTGCTCAGTACATAAACTGGGGAAAGCTGGCCGGGGGGGGCCGCTGCTCGGGGACTGGGCATCGGTCAGTGGGTGGTGAGCAATTGCACTGTGCATCACTTGCTTTGTGTATTATTATTACTATTACATTATTATTATTTATTTTATGTCAATTATTAAACTGTTTTTATCTCAACCCACGAGTTTTTCTCACTTCTACTCTTCCAATTCTCTCCCCCCTCCCACTGCGGGGGAGGAGTGAGCAAGCGGCTGTGTGGTACTCGGTTGCTGACTGAGGTTAAACCACGACACTGCTAAACACCAGACTTTTGCCCGAAGTGATACAATCATCAGCACTCATCAGTCTGCTCCCATCTCAAATACATTGAAGAATCTTTTAGGAAAATAGGAAGCAAGACAAACTTCAACTTAGTGACCTAAAAAGTGTATAAAAATTTATCATAACAAAAACAGATATCTGTATGCTCTGGCTCACATTTTGTACCCTACTTGATTCCACCAAACTCGGACCTACACTTGTTTTTCTAGTACAGTTGATAATTTGGGTCATTTTAGTCTGGAAGCTAAACAATTTTCTTTTACAACTTTCTTTACCTTCTCCCAGACTATTTCCATATACTGCCATGGAACCCAAGCTTTGGTTTGTAGCAGAGAACATGTAGCACCATCCCTTCAGTTCTCGAGTTCCCTGGAGCTCATTTCATTCAGCCATACATAGGGAGCGATACTCTTTAACACTCCTCAGAACAAGGCAATTAAACACGTAGCACTTTTACAGTGAGTGAACTATCAGCATACGTTTTGTGGGATGTGACAGAAGGGAAAGGTTTTTACACAGGGTAGAAGAGGCTGTGGTTCAAGAAGGAAAAGACCTCATGTTTAGATGCAGTTCAGTTTAACAGTAGAATCATTTGCATCCCTTTCAAGAACCTTTACTGCGAATACAAATCATGGCAACGAACTCTGTGTGACCAATGCTGAAAATGAGTGGCAAAACGGACATGAAAGATGCACATATGTGGAGATGTGTGTTTATAAACAACAGTTTACCTGTGTGATATCATCCTGCTGGAAGGCACAGAAATTAAAGTGAAAAAGGCTGTAAGAGGGAGACTAGCAGGAAATGAAACAATAGCAAATAGAAGGGATTATCACAAAGAACAGACATCCTTGAGAAAACAATCGGAAAGCTATTAAGTGGGAATTAAATAATATCTTATTCCATACTACCCTATCTATTAATCTCTACTAGCCTGCAAAAGTTTATTCTTCCTACACTAAAATGTATTTTAAGAATCCTTAAGGGTTAGTCTCAAATGGTGAAGGCTGGCAGGGGCTCAGCAAAGACTTAATACACCGTCCACATGTAAGAAAAAGACACGGTAAGAAAATGCAAACAGGCGACAAAGCTGGAATAGGTGGAGGAACACTGACAAATGCCTTCACACATTTCTGGTATTAGAAGGCAGCTGTTACTAAATAATCAGCCTCAAAACGTTGACGGCAAGTAGGATAGGCAACAACAAGAACTGCCAAACTGAAAATGGGGGTGGTCTGTTTGGTCACAACTATAAACAAGATCAAGTTGCATTCGATGTCATTTCAAAAACTATAGCGCACACTATGGAACAACTCACAAAGCAGGTCTCCTAGCCAAGCTTTTGGGATTAAACCAATGGCCACTGCAGAAGCAATGGATAGAAAATGGTTGCAGACAAGGATAAACAGCAAATAGCACCACTGGTAAAAACTGTAAATAGCCAACACTGTTAAAAGTTTTGCATAACTTTATAGCTATTGATAGATATTCTGAACATATTTACCAGGCATAAATAGATATCCCCTGGCTCCAGAAACCCCAAATACTCAACCATTTCTGTTGACCATCTGGAGCTGTTGGATGCTGAAAGCTTTCAGAAATCCGTCAGGCAATGAAATACAGATCTAGTATTCATGCTCTTTCAGGAAATAGCCAACCTAATTGATTGGCATTCAAACTACTATACACATGCAGGTCTTTTTTTCATCCTCGGACTGAAGATGGCCTTACTTTAGTCTGCGGAACGTGTCTGATACCTAATAGGTCGGTGCATGTGCTAAATGGATGTGCAGCATAGTGCACACATTGCACACAGAATGTTGTCTGTTTTAATTGGGCATGCCTAACTTCGACAGAGTTAAACAGCCTGATTTAAACAGCCCCCATCTTTATTTCACACTGAGGACTACTTAATTTGCTATTTGGTTTGCAGTTATGAGGGAAGAATAAAATATGCTATCCAGTTGCAGCAGGGTAAACAAGGAAGCTGCGCAATGCTGTGGTTTTGTACCTGCTTCTTGGACCTGAACTCAACACAGAAGTTAGCCATGGCATCAGCCAGAAGTTGTTAGCAAGCAGAGAATTAGAAACACAAACGTTAGAAGCACACCACTTCCATTGGGAGCAGAAGTGGTAAAAGTTTTCTGAAAATGCAGTTATGCTCAAGGCTCCATGTGCCATAGTATTGAGAACTCCACACAGCCAGTGATGTAGGGCTGGATGCCAGTGACCTTCTCAGCAGGCTTAAAACCTGTAGCAAGACACATATGCTGTCACTTCCCAGTGAAGAAGGCAGTGTTTTGTAGAATAACAGAACTTTTTCAGTTTTTAGCTCTTCAAGGTGAAATAAACACCATTACATAGATATGAATAAGATTGTAAAACTGGCTTTCTTCTTTCATTGTGAGATCAAATTTCCAGCCCTTCACTGAGGGGTCATCTAAAAGTTGGTCAGTGAAGTGACTGGAATGATTGGAGTTTATTATTTACGTTCAGAATATTTGGAGTATATTGA